GATCCCACATACAGACCGGTTCCCGCTCACTGGCTGAGCGAGGTGCGGGCGCAACACCGAGGGTTGCCGGTCCCGGTCCGGTACGGGCGTGACACTGAGGGTTGCGATCCGTTGCCGGACACGAAAAAAGACAAAAAGGAAAAATAAATAAATAAATAAATAAAGCTGCTATGGACATTCTGCTACTTTTGCTGAAAAAGCAATCATTGCTCTTGGGGATAAAACCCAGAGAGGAACCGCCGAGTCACAGCTGTGCCTATTTTCTCTATGGTTGCATTTCTTTGTGTATGTGTGTTTGTTTTTGTATTGATATGCTTTGATTTCTTTCTTTCTCTTTTAGGTAACTTTTATAAGTATGTTCTTTGTAGTTACTATGCAATTTACATATTATAACTTATAACAGTCTATTCTGAGTTGATAACAACTTTAATCATATTCAAGAACACTACATGTTTATTTTCCCCCTTACTTTGTTACTTATGTGACAATTTACATCAATATACACTATTCGTTAACACATTATTCATCATAGTTATTTTCAGTACTTGTCCTTTGATTTCACACTGAAATTAAGTGATTTATCCAGCACTGTTACAATAGTTTGAATGACCTCAGAAAGATAGCCAGGTAGAGGTGCCTCCCCACAACACCGAAGAGGACCAAAACAATAAATTTAAAAACTACATTTTGACCAAAGTGATTAAAGGAGAGCACTGAAGATTATCAAGGGAGTGGCAGAAACCCTGTGGAGCACAGAAATTCAGGACGATTGCATAGAGAAGGAAAGCAAAGACCTTGCCTTTGTCACCCTATCGTCCTAGTAGAGATTAGCTCTGAACCAGGAGCGACACTTCCTTCTGCAGGGAAAAGGTAAGCATGAAGCTCCCAGCGGCCCCCATCACTGCCGCGGACACCTGCAGTCTTTGTTACTAGAGAATCCTTTAGTCCTTCCAGGCCCTGAGCCCAGCGAAGGCCCCTGCCTGGAGCTCGCATAGCTATGCTACTCCAGCAAATCAGCCCACGCCGTGCCTCCGTTCCTGTGGCCTGTCATGCCACTGCACTGCACCATCTGGAACTCAGAGCCACTGCTAGAGCGCATCCTGCTGTGGGTGCCAGTAGCCACTACAGGCCTTTATCCCTGAGGCTCTACCAACACTATGCCGAGCTCCCACCATGTCCGTGCACCATTTCCAAGCCAAGCTGCTGTAGCTCCCTACCTGCCGGGAACAAACTGCTTAGGAAGTGCTGTATCCCCCCCATCCCAGTTGCTGCTGTATCCTGCCCTGGCTACTTGGAGCCTAGGATCAGTGAAGCAGCCATGCCCCTCTGGTGCCTGAACCAATTCAGTGCCCAGGAATCTTGTGTTTAATCCTTCCAAACTCTGATTTCTAAATTTACTTTCCCAGATGAATTAAGACAGTGAAATGCATGACAACTTCAAAGCTCTATCTTACTAATAGTAATTTTTTCTGAGATACAGAAATAGCATAACTATAAGCACATGTGGCATCCCTTAGAGTATTAGTCATATTTTTATATGGCAATAATGTATTATCAAAATATAAATGCTTTTTCCCAATGTCCAAAAATTCCCAAAATTTGTGTGCTCTACATGCTGGTGTAGGGCCACCAAAGTCCTCCCTTTAGTACAGGCCAGGGAGGAGAGGCTGGGCCACCAAGAAACTAAATTTTATTGCTTATTATTAGAAGATAACCTACAATAAAAATCATAAAGAATATTATGAACAAATGTTTTGGTTTCAAATTAATCATCTTTATGTGCTTCTAATTAATGATTAACACATACGATGCAAAATAATTAGTCCCTTTGTTGACACTCACCTTTCACTGGGGGATAACTTGCTGTTACTGCTGCTTTCTTCTGATACAGATCTAGGAAATTGACAAAATTTGTTTTAAAGTTGGGAAATTTTAAATCTTGAACAGTTAAATGACTTGTTTGAATGAAGAATGTTCTTCGAAAACAGCATGGTTCAAATAAATATCTCCTTCCAACAACATAAAAGAAAAATAAAACAGGTTCTGTCTCAATATCAGAACAAATGCCATCCAGCCCCCTCACTTTGTTAATTGACCTTCTTGCCCTCTTTTTACACTGAATCAAGTATTTATGTTGTAAGCCTACATTTGTTAAGCCTGGCCCTATGATTCTGTGATCTCCCTAAGTCCTCAGGTCAAATTAAGCCAAAACCATAAAGTAGCACTCAAAATTTTAGATAATTTTTCTATATATTTTTATGTAATTCTTTCTCCCTCCCATAAAATATTCTCATCTTTTCTCTTCTTATCAGTGCGTGGAAGGTCAAACGAGAAAAATGCTGTGGAAAAATGCTGCAAATGATGAATAAGGAGCTCAATATAATGTTGAAATATTTGTGCAACTGATTACAGATAATATACTGATTTTTCTTATTAAATTTATGTATCCAAAAGTTTCTGATACATTGGAAAGCTATTACCTCCATTTTATACCTACAGAGAATAATTTGAAGTACATAGAGATTAAATCACTTGCTCAAGATATCACAGTTTTACATGCAATATTTACAGCTTAATACCAGGCTTTCTAATGCTAGGTGCAATTTCTTTCTTACTATACAATGTTGCCTCTTGTCTCTTTAACCTGATATTATTAACTACACTTGTAATTTTTAGTTAAGAAAAGACTTCAGAAGTTAGCAATATCAATATTTAGAAAAATAAATATTATGGAAGCAGGTTCATAGATTTTTCTCTAAGTTAGAAAGGTGTTCTAATAAAGACGTTTTCCACTGGCCTGAGAATCTGCACCTAATTAACTTATGTTTTGAAAGTTCCCTTGAAATGCAGTGTCACTTATTTTCATGAAGCTCATGGACGATATGACTATTTTGACAGGAGCAGTGAACTAAAAGGCTGAATAAAATTCCAAAACACCCGTGGCAGCCATGTCTCCCCCACAGTGACACTGGTGCTAAACTGAGTGGTTTTAGTAATGAGTAAGACTGGAGAAAGCATGAGTGACATCAGACCAGTTTGGAATGTGTTCCTCGGCCTCTCCTTTAGTAGCCTTACCTGTAGACTTGGGTTATTACTGATGAAACATGAATACGTTTTTCTTGACTTATTTAATGTAACAAGAGTAAATATATATGTGCACACACATATACCTCTCACTTTCAGTTTCCCCTCTGTAGCATAGCTTTCTGAATTTAGTCTGTGTTATTAAAACAGCAACAGTAATAATAAACACAGGCAGAGAGACGTAGAAAATGAGTCGAAACTGGTGTTTTTGAAGAGTGACATGTCTTCCTTCCAAATAACTTTTACCTAGAATTAAAAATATCAAGTTTAAATTATGTCAGAGCTTTTATTAACCAAATGAAAGGTGAGAAGATATCCCTACCAACATTATTCCCAAACCTTAATCATTTTATTCATAACTATTATAGACACAATAAAAACAAATAAAAACCCCACGAATGTATAAAATGGACTATCATTAACTGTTGTGCTGATGTTTGAGTTCGCAACTTCCCACCACGTGCTATCATAGATTGTATAATACTTGCATACATTTCTTCAATTTCTTTTCAGCTTGCCAATTCACCCTGCAGATCTTAGGGCTTTTCAGCCTCCATAATTATGTGGTTCTGTTTTCAGAAGAACCCTGACTAAAACGGATTTTGGTACCAAGGAGTGGGGTGCAGCTCTACAAATACCTAAAAATGTGCAAGTGGCTTTGGAACTGGTTATAGACTGGAGTAGTTCTAAGGTGCGTGCTAGAAAAAGCCCAGATTGACATGAAGTGACTGGGAGAAACATGGATGTCACTACCTAAAAATGTGCAAGTGGCTTTGGAACTGGTTATAGACTGGAGTAGTTCTAAGGTGCGTACTAGAAAAAGCCCAGATTGACATGAAGTGACTGGGAGAAACATGGATGTCAGAGGTAATTCTGGTAAGAACTCAGGAAGAAAAGAGAGAAAGCCTACATCGTCTTAGAAAATACTTAAATAATCGTGACCAGAATGCAGGTAGAAATATAAACATTAAAGATGCTTCTGATGAGGTCTCAGACAGAAATAAAGAATATATTATTGGACAGTGAAGAAAAGGTGATTCCTGTTATAAAGTGGAAAAAACTTGGCTAAATTGTGTGGTAATGTTTTAAGGAAGACAGAACTTGCAAGCCCAAATATTGGATAATTAACTGAGAACATTTATAATCAAAATGTTGAAGGTTTGTCCTGAGTCTTTCTGACTGCTTGTGGTAAAATGCATAGAGAGGAGAGATTAACTAAAGAAGTAACTGTTAAGCAGTTTTCAGCCTATCCTTACTTTAAAAAATGAGGAAACATGTTCAGGAGAGAATACCAAGGGTGTGGCTAGAAAACCATTTAATAAAAAGGTTACAAATGTGAACCATGGATTTAATCAGCCGCCTCAGCAGAAGCCAGGAATAAAGGGCTATGCCAGCAGAGGAGGAATTAGATCAGAAGAGACACTGCCAGTTTGACCAAAGCAAACAGGATAGGACGACAGAGCTATTTGGCTATAAACATGCTTTATCCTCCAAGAATAGAAAAGAAAAGAATGATTCCAAAGGCAATTCAAAGACCATCAGGGCTGCCACTGCCAACATCGACTAAGGGGGCAAACTCCCACCCACTTCTCGGTTTCAGAGAGTGGGGATCCCCTCCTCAATTTTTGTAGAACAGGTTTCCCAAGCCCAGTGCCTTATCAGTAGGGTCCCTGTGAAGAGGGCACGGGCAGGGCAGCCACCCAGAGCCAAGGGGATGGAGCCGCGACCCAGGACTGTGGGGTGATTGCGGGGGCGCCTCCCACTCATAAGATTAAAGTTTGATAAAGATCTTTTAATGAAACATGGTGTTTGCAGGGCCTCATCGTGAAGGGATGATGGCAAGGCCTCATCGTGGGAGAAGATGCCGGTGTTCCACCCTGATATTCTGGAGCTCTGTGTGCTTGTTATTTTATTCTTTGCTGCCTCATAACTATCGCTCTGGGAGACTTGGAAGTAGGATTCAAAATTATACTAAAATATTTAATCATACTAATGATACTTATGATTATGGATTTTCAGGAGATGGCTTATGGCAGTGGGGCCCAGAAGGGGAGAATGAACCTATGTAGGTATTCGTCTTGTCTGGTGCCTGAGAGTTTGGCCTGGCTGCTTGGAAGGAGTTAATGTACAATCTTTTGTTTTACAATAGAAGTAGAAGTTAAGTTGTAAGCAAGTTAATTTTTAGAGTGTTTATTTAGGAATAAAGAATAGTTAGATGTAGGTGTGAATCAAGTTTTAATAACGTCATAGAAAGTCTATTGTACCATGGATGTAGTTTTGGTAATGATTGCAAGTGATGAAAAGTGATGATTATATGGGACCAGTGGGTTGTAACGTTCTTGCTCAAAGGAAAGGACATTGTAATTGTCTTTTCTGGGAATAAACTGTAATCCTATTTTTCTTAGAACATATGTCACTTACAAAGAGATATTATGATATTGTTCATTGATTATTTTATGATTATGTAGCAAATAAGAAAGAAAAGTATAAAAGTCTGATGCTTGCTTCAATAAATTGTCAGCATTCAGCAGATCCCTTGAGTCTGTGTGTTTGTTGTCCCAACATTCAACAGATCCTTTGAGTCTGTATGTTTGCTGCCGCTCCATCGCCGACGCTGCCCTTCCTCCCTTTTGGGGGATCCCTTACCAGTGGGGACCTTTACAATCTCTGTGCTGGGGCTGGTCCCCGGCAGGTGATGCCCTCATGCCAGTGATGAGGGAATAAAGAATATCAAGCCAAACAGGATTATTCTCAAGCCTCAAGATCCAATAAAACTTGCCGGGGGACTGGTTACTCCTCCTTCCCCCCCCAGTTTCCCTTTTTGGAATGGGAATGTCTATTCTGTGCCTATCTCACCTTTTTATTTTTGAAGCACATACTTGTCTAGTTTCACAGGTTCACAGCTGGAGAGGAATTTGGGGGGGGAGGTATTTTTACTTTTTTTTCAAACCCCAGAGAGGAATTTTGCCTCAGGATGAACCATGCCTCAAATTTTACTCATACCTGATTTGGATAATATTCAGATGAGACTTTGGACTTAGAATTTATACTAAAATGGGTTAAGACTTTTGGGACTGTTGAATGAATGTCATGAATTGACTTTGGAAGGCCACAGGGTGCAATATTACGGACTAAATTGTGTCTCTCTCAGTTCATAAGTGAGGGTATTTGGAGATGGTCTTTGGGAGAAAATTAAAGCCAAATGAGATCATACAGCCCTAATCTGATGTGATTAGTCTCCTTTTAAAAGGAGGAAGAGAGACCAGAGATATCTTTCTCTCTCTGCACGCACAAAGGAAAGGCCATATAAGGACCAGCAAGAAGGTGGCTGTCTGCAAACCTGGAAGAGATCCCTTACCAGAAACCAAAGTTACCAGCACTTCAATCATAAACTTTTAACTTTCAGAACTGTGAGAAAATAAATGCATGCTGTTTAAGACATCCAGTCTGTGGTATTTTGTCACGGAAGCCCAAGCAGCCCAATATACTGTGTTTTCAAAAAAGAATGAATGAGGTTGTTTACTCCTCAGAGCACCTCTTGAAGGGAGAAATTGTCATGGACCTCCTGTTAAAACTTCCCTTCTCTGCAACATTCACTACTTAGTTTCAAGAACATCAGGTTAGAAAGCAAGATGGTTTAGTATTAGAAAATGTTCAAAGGCAATATGAGAAACAATATGATCATTTCGATAGGTGCCATATATGCATTTAGTAAAATCTAAAAGACATTCCTGATTTTAAAAAATTAAATTGGAGATTAATACTTTTTCAACAGGATAAATATATTAAATCAAAGGCAGCAGCCTTTTCATGATAAAATTATAGAGATTTTCCTGGAAGTAAAGTAATGATCATCACTTTCATGATTATTTCCTTTTATTCTGAATGGGTTACCCAATGCAATTATGAAGTGAGAGAGAGAGAGAGAGAGAGAGAGAGACACAGAGAGAGGGAGATTAACTGAAGAATAGGAAAGATAGAGAAATTATTATTAAAAAGACATGACAAAGTTATTATTGATTGCAGGCAGTTTACATCATTTAAAAAAGTCAACCTCCCAAAAGATCAACTAAAAGACTTCTGAAAATAGTGATAGTCCTTTGATAAAATGTACACACAAAAATCAGTAGGCTTTCTATATGTAAGAAATAACATGCTAAAAATACGACAGAAAAGATCTCCCAATAACAATCGTCAATGAAACTATCACATTCTTAAAAATTATAAAGGTAATTATTATCTACAGATCCTTCTATACANGAGAGAGAGAGAGAGAGAGAGACACAGAGAGAGGGAGATTAACTGAAGAATAGGAAAGATAGAGAAATTATTATTAAAAAGACATGACAAAGTTATTATTGATTGCAGGCAGTTTACATCATTTAAAAAAGTCAACCTCCCAAAAGATCAACTAAAAGACTTCTGAAAATAGTGATAGTCCTTTGATAAAATGTACACACAAAAATCAGTAGGCTTTCTATATGTAAGAAATAACATGCTAAAAATACGACAGAAAAGATCTCCCAATAACAATCGTCAATGAAACTATCACATTCTTAAAAATTATAAAGGTAATTATTATCTACAGATCCTTCTATACCTATAGAAAGTATCAAAACCACAAAAAATATCACCTTGCAACCATCAGGATGGCCACTATCAGAAAGAAAGAAAAAAGACAGAGGTCCTCTCTCTCCCCAAAGCACACTCCAGAGTAATAGGAGCAGCATCTGACTTATGATAATAGGTTAGCTGATTACACCTGTCTCAGTACTGGACGGATCATCCAGGCAACAAACCAACTTTCTTTTTCTCATTATAAAATCCCATTATATTTTTTCTCAGACTTAGAATTTGTTTAGTTAGTTATGCTATAAACTATTATCAATTGACACATTTAAGTAGTCCTATTGTTTTGTTTAAAAAAATAACATTTATGCAACTGAAAAGTAAATAATATGAAATAATGTATAATTCAAATAAAAATCCATTTTCACATTTTTATGTAAAGATAATAATATATGTGCATAGTTATATATTATATATTAAATTATTATGCTGTTTTTAGTCTGATAAACAGTTCAATATGGCTGTATGTTGTATCTCTAAAACA